GTGCACTTTAGCCTGGGTGACAGAGTGAGACTCTGACTCAAAAAAAAAAAAAATAAAACAACCACCCAAAACCCCAAGATTATCTCCTAGTGAAGTGTCATTCAAAGTTTGCTCGTTTGTAAACTTTGTTACCATTTGATGACTGAGAGGTTTGGAAACTCAGAGCAATTGTTCATTTGGCATTGTCCGTGCCTCCAGGAAAGCAATCGGTAGACAGTTCTTGTAGAGCAGGGTATAGACCAGCTGGGGTTGTTGAACTTGCAAGGCAAGCTGTATGGAAAGTAGTCATATGCAGTAGGATCACATACCATGACAAACTGGATAAATAAAGAAACTGATCCTGTTCCACAGAGTTAGGAAAGCTCACACCCCCCTACCTTTGCCTTGCAAGTTGTTGTTGTAGATAAGCACTTTCTTCCATTCCTCTTTTCTTTGTATTTTATACAATGCAAGGCATGAAGTCACCCTCAGACACACTCTAAGTGTGTTATAAAAAGCAATGGAGAGCCGGGAGCCATAGCTCAAGCCTGTAATCCTAGCACTTTGGGAGGCCGAGGCAAGAGGATTGACTAACCTCAGGGGTTCGAGAACAGCCTGGGCAACTTGATGAGAACTCATCTCTACAATAAACCAAAAAATAAGCCGGGCATGGTTGCATGCGCCTATAGTTCCAGTTACTTGGAAGGACCACCTGAACCCAGCAGGTCGAGACTGAGGTGGCTGTGAGCATGCCATTGCACTCCAGCCTAGGCAATAGAGTGAGACTCCGACTTAAAAAACAAAACAAACAAATAAAAAAGCAACAGAGGGTGATGTTAGTGAAAATGTGGTGCAAGGATCTCCAAAAATTATCTTCTCAATAAAAGCATCGAAAAAAAACTGTCAAAAAACAAAAACAAAAACAAACCAGTAAACCCTTTCAGATTTTTTTTGCCTGTAATCCCAGCACTTTTGGGAGGCAGAGGCAAGAGGATTGCCTGAGCTGAGGAGTTCAAGACCAGCCTGGGCAACATGGTGAGACCTCAGCTCCACGATTAAATCAAAAATTAGTTGGTGCACCTGTAGTCTCAGATACTTGGCTTTTTTTTTTTGAGCACTCATGGCCACTGCAGTCTTGACTTGCAGAATTCAGGTAATCCTTCCACATCAGCCTTCCAAATAGCTTGAACTACAGGCGTGCACCACCACGCCTGGCTAATTTTTTGATTTACTGTCCAGACGAGGTCTTTCCAAGTTGCCCAGGCTGGTCTTGAACCAGTGGGCTCAAGCAATCTTCTTGCCTCCACTTCCCAAAGTGCTGGGATTACAAGCGTGAGTCACCGCACCTGGCAATCTCAACTACTTGTAAGACTGAGGCAGAAAGATCGCCTAATCCCAGCAGGTGTAGGCTGCAGTAGCCATGATTGTGCCACTGCACTACATGGGCGGCAGAGTGAGAGTCCAATAAAGAAAGGAAGGAGCCGGGCTCGGTGACTCAGCCTGTAATCCCAGCACTTTGGGAGGCCGATGTGAGCAGATTGCCAGAGCCCGCAGGTTTGAGACCCACCTGGGCAACTTGGCGAGATTTTTGTCTCTACAACAAATAAAAAAATTAACCGAACATTGTGGCAGGCACCTGTTCTAGTTACTTGGAAGGCTGAGGTGGAAGGATCACCTGAACCCAGCAAGTCGAGGCTGAAGTAGCCTTGTCGTGAACGTGCCGCTGTACTCCAGCCTGGGAACAGAATGAGACTCTGACTCAAACAAACAAACAAGACAGGCTGGTCTGAAGTACTGAATTATCGCAATCGATTTTTCACAGTCACAGATCAAATTTCTCATCCTACTCTTTCCATTCTTCTCACCTCTACACTTGACTATCTTAAATAGAGGAATTGAACAACACTGTAAACCAAATTTGGTTTATTAAATTTGTTTTTTTTAAGTAATCAACTTTTGGCTATGTCAGTTCTTTTCTTCTTCTATATTTCACTGTTATCTGCTCTAATCTTTTTTTTTTTTTTTTTTTGAGTTGGAGTCTCACTCTGTCGCCCAGACTGGAGTGCAGTGGCCGCTCCCGGCCACCGCAGCCTCGCCTGCTGGGCTCCGGCGATCCTTCCACCTCAGCCTTCCAAGTAGCCGGAATTACAGGCATGCGCTACCATGCCCGGCTGATTTTTTGATTTATTGTAGAGATGAGGTCTCACTGCCCAGGCGGGTCTTGAACCCGCAGGCTCAGGCAATCCACTCACCTCATCCTCCCAAAGGCGAGGGATTACAGGCTGAGCCACCGAGCCCGGCTTGCTCTAATCTTTATTTTATTTTATTTTTTTGAGTTGGAGTCTCACTCCGTCGCCCAGACTGGAGCGCAGTGGCCGCTCCCAACCGCCGCAGCCTCGACCTGCTGGGCTCCGGTGATCTTTCCGCCTCAGCCTTCCAAGAAGCCGGAATTATAGGCATGTGCCACCACGCTCGGCTGATTTTTTGATTTATTGTAGAGATGAGGTCTCGTCAAGTTCCCCAGGCAGGTCTCAAACCCGCGGGCTCAGGCAATCCACTCACCTCAGCCTCCCAAAGGCGTGGGATTACAGGCTGAGCCACCGAGCCCAGTTTGCTCTAATCTTTAATGTTTCCTTCCTTCTGCTGGTTGTAGGTTTAATTTGCTCTTCTTTTATACCTTTGAGTATAAAGTTAGGTTGTTTATTTGAGATCATTCTTCTTTTTTAATGTAGGCATTTATTGCTATAAAATTTCCCCTAAGAACTGCTTTCATTCCATCCCACAAATCTTGGCATGTTACATTTTCATTTTAATTCATCTTATTTATTTTGTCTTGATGTTCTATTGATTATTGAGAGTGGGATAGTAAAGTTTCTATTATTGTAGAGATATTTCTTCCTTTAATTTTGTCTGTTTGTTTCATATATATATATATATATATTTTTTTTTTGAGTTGGAGTCTCACTC